CAACTAAACTCGGGCACGGGCGTGTCCCTTCAGCGTGGACTTGCATGTGCCCTACATTGACGGCAGCGGGAGCAGGGCAATGGTGCCGGCTCCTGCACGTAGGGGATCTGCACTGCTGCGCTCCTGCGCGTGAGGGGTGAGGGGTGCTGGCCCCTGCGCGTGAGGGGATCTGCGCTGCTGGGCTTCTGCGCGTGAGGGGTGAGGGGTGCCGGCCCCTGCGCGTGAGGGAATCTGCGCTGCTGCGCTTCTGCGCGTGAGGGGTGAGGGGTGCCGGCTCCTGCGCGTGAGATCTGCGCTCCTGCGCGTGAGGGGCGAGGGGTGCCGGCCCCTGCGCGTGAGGGGATCTGCGCTGCTGCGCTTCTGCGCGTAAGGGGTGAGGGGTGCCGGCTGCCGTGCGTGAGGGAGCCGGCCGGTCGCCAGGCCCGACGCAGACTAGATAAGAACGCATTAGCATATCCCCGGATGTTGTGTGAGCATTAGCGTGACATTCCCCAGTTAGCCCAGTTGGCACGGAACCCGGCCTTTGTGCCAGGCAGGTCATGTGCGGTGGCGGCGTCAGCGAGGTGAGACAAAAGTGACGCACCGCTCGCGCACGCGGCCGGCGGGGCGGCCGCGGACGGGCGGGCCGCTGCCGTGACTCAGCAGGCGCTGGCCGGCGGCGGTCCTTCAGCCGGCGCCCACCGACGCTTTGTCGGCAGCAGACTTTGGTTACCGTTTGGCGAGACAATGATCCCCGCTCCTCAGCAATTACATGGGTCCCATTGAAACCCAATTGGGATCGGATTGGTGCTATCTCTTGCGGAATATATGAGCGTGACGGCCGCGATCGTAACACGCATCAATGTTGTGGAGGACAGGCGACAGGTCGGCACAAGGGGTGTGTACAACTGGATCACGAACACGCGCCCCCCAAACGAACACACACGACCGACTGGGCCACGGACATAGCCCTCAAAAGCCCGACGATCCCGTATTACCGAACCCCAAACATTCGCCGACGTCCGTCGTCGACCGTTCATTCGAACCCCACGGCGCCCTCCCGTGCAGTGAACCCACGCCGCCCCCGGCCTGCACGACTGGTGCGGCGCCCGGAGCACGCCTGTCCCCCCATGACGACCCCCTCGGCGGCGCCCGCGCCGGGGGGGGGGGGGGGCGGGCGTCCCCACGCCGGCACGTACGTCCGCCGGGTCGCCCTAATGGTGCCGGTTTGAACAGACCGTGCAAAAACTCGGGCGCTGGTGAAAGCAGCGTCGTCGGTCGGCAGCGAGCGCCGCCATTGTCGGCCGCCGGCCTGACCGGCACGTGTGTCGGGGAGCGGGCCGGCGACGCGCGGCACACTGCCGCCCCGCACCGACAGCAGACCAGCCGGTCTCGCAGTACAGGATATGGAGCTGAGCCGGGGTGATGGGTGAGTACAGGGTCGAGCCGGCGTGGTGACAGGATACAGGGCCAACGCGGGTGGCGCTGAGGCACAGGGCCGACCTGCCTAGCCGTCGGGGTACAGAGCCGGCTCAGGAGTACCGACAGGGTACAGAGAGGTACCGAGATACCAACAGGAGACAGCAGTCCCGGAGTACCGGCAGGAAGCAGGGCCGACCTGAGAAAGACGGGGTACAGAGAGGTACCGGGGAACCGACAGGAGGCAGCACAGCCCCGGAGTACCTGCAAGAAGCAGGGCCGACCCGGGACAGACGGGGTACAGAGGGGTACCGACGAACCGACAGGAGACAGCAGTCCCGGAGTACCGGCAGGAAGCAGGGCCGACCCGGGACAGACGGGGTACAGAGAGGTACCGAGGAACCGACAAGAGACAGCACAGTCCCGGAGTACCGGCAGGAAGCAGGGCCGACCCGGGACAGACAGGGTACAAGATAATCATCGGGACCACGGCAGGGAACGGTCCATGCCGGGCTCCCGACAGGGTTCAGGGCCGTCCCCGGCGATCCCTCCACCCGTGGCACCGGGAGGGCGCACGGCAGCCCCCGCTGTACAGACCGCCCACCCCACCGCCGCCGAGAACCGACATGGACCTCAACGCTGGCAGCCGCGACCCCCCAGCCCGGGTCGTGGGGCAACGGGCGGCCACAGGCACGCCGGCGGCCGAGGGGCCGGCGGCGCCGCTACGGAACGACTCACGACTCCCGACTCACGACTCACGACACCCGCCCGCCGGCGACGCCATCGATCACGGAGAGCACCGCAGGTCGTGACACGGACAGGTCCGGCTCCGGGAGCCTGCCTCAGCCCCTCCGAGCAGCGCGCCGCGACGCTATAGACCCTCCTGTCGCAGCCGCGGCCAAGAGCACACACGGCCGTCCACGGCGAGTGGTCCGCGCCAGTCCTGCCGGCTGCGTCCAGGGCCAGTGGTCCGCGCCAGTCCTGCCGGCTGCGTTTCGCGGTGGCTCCGCAGCGACAGCACGCTGACGACTGCCGTGGCTTATGGACGCGGCATTATCACATCACATATCGTGGCGAGCGCGGCCGAGCAGTAGCGCACTGTAGGTCACCACGCCGTGCTCGTCAGGCCGGCGGCATGCCTCATCTGACCCAGACTGCGCGCGGCGCCGCAGTGAGGCGCGCCGCGTCACGGCTCGGCACCGCCAGTCAGCCGGCAGCCAGCCGGCCGCTCGTTCGGGCGGAGCCACGGTCGCGGGTTGTCAGCCGGCCGCGCGTGGGGGCAGGCGGCCACCCGTCAGGCGCAAAACCCGTCTGAGGGGGAGGTGTGCAGAGCGCCGCGCCGCAGGTCACACAGGTCACGCCGCGGGTCAAGCGCTGGGTCGCAGCTGGATACGGTGCGGATACGATTCGACCACACCTACAAAATCGACCCAAACAATGGTCCCACTCCGGCGGGGTGAAATGAAAAGCTTATGACAAAACGTATAAGAAGCATTGACGGAAGGCCGTTGTCAGTCAGCGTACCTGTACGCAAACTTAAAAGCAGCAAGATTAACTAATCCACATCATAAACGCATACATCTTAGAAATTAGCGGCCTGGACGAAATGAGGCACAACCTGCGCCCTGGAGGCAACTAACATTTCAAAGTCGGCACTTTCGTTCTTTTTAAAAGGCCCCCCAGACACCCAAATGTAGCTGTCTTACTGAGCACCCCACCATTGAGCACGTAACGCGCCGGTGGACTTGTGGTGCTTTTCTGCATTCGCTCCTCATGTTGTGAGAGTGAAAACGGATAGTTTTCTGCGCGGGAGAATACAAGACAACAGCATGGGGCTAAAACACGCAGCTGAAAGTCTGCATATCAAATGATAGCCAAAGCGCATGTGACGAGCTACTTCTCAACTCAAGGTCGCAAGTGTAGCCTTATTTTCGCCAGCTGGTTCAACGCCCTGTGTATTGCGAAACTTCTTTGACACGCTTTGCGCTTGTACCCAGACAGAACTCTCGTGCACAGCA